AATATGAAAAGAATATTTTGATCTGAAAATATCAAAATATTTACTTATTTACTTAATTAATAAAGATTGTTACCTTTAGCGACGACATAAAGCACAGAGGGAAATTTCTTTACAAACCAGAGTAGGCCCTAAAGTGTATAAAATGAAAAGAATATTTTGAACTGAAAATTTTACTAATATTATTTATAGCGATGCCATAAAGCACAGAGGGAAATTTCTTCACAAATCAGAGTAGGCCTTAGCTGTTATTAGGCAAATAACTTTTTTTTGAAACTACATTTTTAACTTACAGGCGCTGCTTGATTTTCTTATGGCACCGGGCGCTAGCGGGCGTCATGCGAGACCCTAGCGGGCAGCACCATAGACTAAAAAATAAATTTTTTCCCCGATTTACGGCGTAATAAGCACGTTGGGTGGTCTCTCTTGAATTTGTCACCATATGCATGCACTGCGCGTACGGCCCAGCTAAGCCCCGAGGTAAGCCTGGGAGCGATGTCTCCTGTCTTTTCACCTGTTTTGGTACTGTATGCTACGCAATGACACATGGATGCCAGTCAACTCGCTCCCTAGCAATCTCGCCCCCTTACAAACTCGCCCCCTTACAAACTCGCCCACAAACAAACGCGCCCAAATTTTCAAATTAGTTTCCAAAGACTGTAATTATATTTTTGAAACAATAACAATTGTTAAACCAGAGCCTTGCAGGCGTCAACGTTCCTATGCATGATACATGGCTTAAAAAGTATATAGGCCCTATATATATATATGTGTATATATATATATACGTACATATATATACACATATATATATATAAGTATACACGTATATATACATGTATATATATATGTATATACACGCGCACATGTACATATATACGCGTGTACATACATACGCGTGTATATATATACGCGTGTATATTATACGTATATACATACGTATACATACACGTGTATATACATAGACATATATATTATATAATATATATTATATATATAACATATATTATATAATATATATTATATATATAACATATAATGTATATATATATATTTATATATATATATATATATTTATATATATATGTATATATATATGTATATTTGTATATATATATTTGTATATATATATATATATATTTGTATATACAGGCCTAGTAGATTGTATTGTCAAAACTCAGTGTAAACAAACAAGTTTTGGCAAATCCTTCGCCATCTCCAGTGAAACGATGATAAAACATGCAACCTCCTTTATAAAGGTAGTGAACAACTGTGAAGCATTTATTTTTAAAGGAAAAAAATGGGAATTGAGCCATAGCTACATGTAAAAGTTGCTAACTTTTTCATTCTGATGTTCATCATTACCTTATCATCTTTATTCATGCAATTCCTTCTTTTTTACAATTACGGTTCTGATGGAATCTTTAAAATGCAATGTGATGTTTGTTTGAAGTAGCCATGGCTCAATTCCCATTTATTTAAAATACAGTGGTTCATAGTTGTTCACTCTGTTTCATGTTTGTTTATACCGATCTAAATGGAAGTTAGATGATGTTGTTACAATAATTTCCGACTGTTGTTCAGTGTGATATGTAG